TGTTGTTGCTTGATTAACATCAATGACTCGGACAGCAACTAAATTAGGCTGCTGTCCCTTTAAAAACCGAATGCCCAGCTGCAATGGATGCAATGCACTGATACACGTTCTCCCAACTGTTTACGTTCACTTAAGACGTAATCAACTGTGTTTACGTGAATACTTGTCAAAACAGACAATTCGTGTGTAATTCTCCATTCATGCGACGTGAAAGTACTCGCGCGCTGTATGCTTCAGTGTCTGCGCTCAGAAAACCGGACCGAATCGAGTTCCCTCTTGCGTCGTCAGATTTATCCATATGTCTGCTCTTCTCTTACTCCCACATATTGACATTTTTTAACGTTTTATGCGACGTGCAGCAAGTGTATGCTAGATTATGTCCCGCCGGTTCATATGAACGCATCTAACCACCGAACTAGGGCTGCAACAACGAACCGATAAAATCGATTATTATCGATTATGAAAATCATCGACAACGATTCTCATTATCGATTAATTGGGTCTGCCCATAGTGCACGTCCAACGGAGTTTACATACTTGTCCAACTTCAGCCAGTGGCGTCAAATTAAAGCACTGAATTACTTATTTCTATGGACAAAATGCATCTAAAATAGTGGAGGAAACAGAATGAGATGCTGCAGCGGCGGGCGCGTGCACGCGCGTCAGACAGATGGAAAACAGAGACAATTAATAATCAGCGCAAAAACATTAATTGTGCTGAAATAATTTTTGTTATGTGAATAAATAAAAGTATTTTAAGTAAAAAAAAAAAAAATTGATTTAAACAATTTTTTGACAGATTCCTAAAATTCCTAAAAAGTGTTTTCTCTTTATTAAGACAGGTGGTCGAATAAATTGTTAAGCACTGTATGTTTTCATAGCATTCAGTTGGAACGTTTGTTTTAAGGACATTGGGCAGAATGTGGAATATTGTGTTTTTGTCAATAAAATAAAAAAGACAATTGTTTGTTTTTAATCCGATTAATCGAAAAAATAATCGACCAACTAATCGATTATCAAAATAATCGTTAGTTGCAGCCCTACACCGAACCACGCAGCGGATTCGTTCAAAATGAATCTCTTCCCAAATCTTCCCTCCCTAACATTTTCGTCTCGTTTTTATTCGTTGACGAAAATGTCAATAGATTTACGTCATAGTTTTTGTCATTCAAAAAGAGTTTTAGTTCATTATCGTCTCGTTGTCATCAGTGAAAAAAATGTCGTTGCCGAAATTAACAATGCATTTAATTAATTCCAATTTGTTTGCTTGAAACAAACCCATTATTTTCAGCCATTTCAGACCACTGTACATAAATACTAAGGTATGTATCAAATATCTGTAAAAGACCCAAAATATCCACAGGTTTTTTTAGCCATATTATCCATCTCAAAGTTCAAACCAACCCTCTTTTCCCAGTCCAAAAACATTTTCAAGCAGTCAAGATTTACCTCTTGCCGAGAGCTTCTTGGTGTTGATGATTTTGGCAGCATACTCTTGGCCCGTGCACAGCTTGACACAACGTCGCACCACTGAGAAGGCCCCCCTGAAGAAACAGACAGAGAAGAAAATACACCATTGAACTTGACGTGGAACCCAAAAAATCAGTTCAAAAATGGCTTAAAGGGACACTTCTGTTCTCTATTTGTGTTCCATGGAAGCAAATGTTTTATTTTTGGGTGAACTGTTAAGAAGAAGAACAGTTATGCACATCTAGCTCTTTACCAAAAGCATCAACAGAGCCAGATCAGAAATGAAAACAACACGCAGGTGTTTGATGCGCAAATATTCATGATAGTCACATGGGAATAAAATGTAGAACACACTCTGTCTTTCAAAAGCCTCCTTGAGTCTATTTTCAGCAAGACCTGAGTTATGAAAATCACTTGAGACAGTCATGATAACGGTCTGATGTCATTCCTTACTGGCTAATTTTAGCACACCTTGTTTCAGTTACACAATACACTCGGCATGTCTCAAGCAGCCGCTCCGGACCCGTGACTTCCAGCCTCTCACCGACAGGCTCAGATGCCCTTGGAAACACCCATGTGATGATAACATGTGATAAAAACAGACCATATGCCCCTCTGTGACCTCAGGCAAATCACCTGCGCACGATACGCTTGGCTAGCGGACTAGAAGAAACGAAGCCTGGGAGATCATGGGCATCATTAGATACAGATCATTATTCAAAACATCATGCAACATCATGTCAATGTCAATCATGCACTTTCAGTAACTGACTTTTTGGATATGGTAACATGGTAGTACTATGTTAGGTAGTACCATGTAACTTAGTGATGAATACTAAAATTCTAGCGAATGCTAATGCGCATATAATCATTTAATCTTCTGACCAATAACCAGGGTTAATAGAGTTAACTAAAACTGAAATTAAAATTAAAACCAAAATTAAATTGTTACTTTAAATAAAATTATATATAAAAAACTATTTCAGCTACTTGCCAAGGCAACATTTCTCACTTTTAATTTAGTTAACTTAATGCACTAAAATAACTGAAACTAAAACTGAAATAAAATTGAATAAAAACTACATGGATATATAGAAAAAAACTACTAAAAATAATCAAAAGTCAACAAAATTACTCAAATTAAAATGAAAACAGAAATAATACAAATAAAAACTGATTTAAATTCGTAATGAAAACTATAATAATCTGAAGTATAATACTGCCGATAACGGATAAAAAAATTATGATATTAAAATTCATAAATAAATGAAAAAATAAAACACTAAACAATAAAATCAATCACTTTAAATGCTACAAGTTAATTTAGGTATCAAAACATTGTAAATTATAGTAGGAAAGATGGATATTCATTTTAATATTTGCTTAACATTTCACAGCTATTGAACTATTAGTTTTTAAATATTAAATATTGGCCTATATATACAATATTATGCACATATATCATTACTGTACCATGGTGCCATTGCAGTGAGGTCAGCATATTAACACGTTAACATATATAATGTTGTGGTTGACAATATATGTTTTATGATGGCTGAAAATTAAGACTATATATAGATATCACACTATTCAATTTAAAGACAGCACAAACACAAGCATAACAACTGCTGTGATTAAATTGATTTTGCATAATATTTGCTAAAAATAATCCTTTTGGTATTTACTAAAGTAAAAGATCTCAGAGCTGTTAAAATAAAAGTCCCGCTTGTGACTAGTGGTCACAATATTTGGCATTTTTCAAATATCGGCATTGGCCGATAAGTTTTTCTGTTTGGCCTATGTGTTCGCACCGGACTTTTATTTTGACGGCCTGAGCACACAGTGCTCACATTCTCCCTCTTGTTCGCTGTCGTTGTTCAGTTATGTCTCATATGGATAAGCCTATCTAATAATCAGATAGAACTGTTAAACAAAGGAATTAAAATGTATACAAAAAAGTATTATAACGATTGCTTTAATATTATTAGTAATAGAAAGGCAACATTATAATACTTTCTCGTTTGCCTTCAGCAAATACGCATTTATATAATTTAAACAAATCTTTGAATGACTAATGAACATTTAATTTCACAAACCTTGCAGACTTAGTAGAATCTAGTTGAGATCTTGTGAAGTGTGCATTTGTATCCTGCATGATCGCGAGTTCAGCTTCATTGAGACGCGCGATCGAGAAACTTTAAACTCGTGATTTCAAATTAAGATAGCTTCATGCTTTTGCCCAATGTCATATTCATGTCATTTTCATTGCGTGCTGTATGTAAAATGAGTGTTACCTTGGCTTTATTTGGGGAAAAAAAAAAAGATTCCCAATGCACACAAACTTCCCAGAATACTGAGTGCCCTGTTGGTTACAGTGTTTACTTCCTTTTCAATTAGATTTTTATTAAATATTTATTTGTGAAAAATGCTTTGTCTTCTAAAGTGTATATATGTTTATTTTACACAATTATTTTTAATCCATTTTCAAATGATTTCAAATTTCTTAAATATTAAATAAAATTATATCGGCTTTATATCGGCCACCCTGCTTTCCAAGATATCGGCATCGGCTGTCAAAAAACCCATATCGGTCGACCACTACTTGTGACACTTATCGACAAAATTTTTGATTTTCACCTAATGCCGATAATGCCAAATATCAGCCAATAAACTCAGTCAACCACTAATATATCATGTATTATAATCAAAGAAATCAAATATTGCTTGGCAGCCTGAGCATCTCAGCGGAGACATTGAGCTGATTTACTGCCGTCGGCCTGTCAGGAAGACCGAAGGTCTTTAGGGTAAACTGGCACACAGCAGCAGAAAACACGTTCACAAACGTAAATTATTTAAATTATAAAATGTTACTTAATTCATAATATAATAAAATACAGTAAAAATAGTATTAATGTGAAATGTCACATTAATACAATACAAAACATGTCCATGTGTGTGTAATTTTTTTTATTTATTTAAAAAATTGTGTGTGTGTGTGTATATATATATATATATATATATATATATAT